GACCCAGGAGCCTCAGGGGCTGAGCCTAAGCCCAGCATCAGGCCGTCAATCTTCCTGCCAAATCCATGGCAAAAATAATCTCCCAGTCCCAAGCCAGGCCTTTGGTGGTAGCTTTCCTGACCCAGGGCTCACAGAGCAGCCTCTGGGTTGGATCCTTGCTGCCAGCCTGGCACCTCCAACCCAGCCTCTACACAGCAACCCAGGGCCCCTCCCTTCCTGAAAACCAGTGGCATCACTGCCTGCCTGAAAGGATAGAGTTCCTCCCCCCCGCCAGCTGACCTAGGAGGCACATGTGACCTCACTGCACCCACCCTCCCTGCCTCCCCAGAGACCACCCCACCCTATCCCACTCTGCTTCAGCTACACAAACCCACTTACTGCTCCCACCTGTACCTGCCCTGGCCTTTGCTCTGCCTGGCAAGCCTGCCCCATCTTTTCCCAAGAAAATGCATATTAAATGTCATCTCCTCTGGGTATCCTGCTCGGACTGGCCAAGGAAGGAAGGCGTTTCCTCCTCTGGGCCCTGTGTACTTTTCTGTTATGGCCCCATGACACAGTGCTATCCTTTCTTCTTTTGATTTTTGGCTCTCCAGCTAGACTAAGAGCTCCCAGAAGGCAGGGGCCAGGCCAAATTCACATCATCCCTGACTTCCTCTCAAGGGCTAGATTAAGGCAGGCACTCAAATGTTTGAGGGATAAAGAAGGAAGAAAGGGTCACGCCTTGCCTTCCCTGGCACCTCTGTCCTCCTGTATCATATGTCGGCCGTGCACCTACTCTGGGCCAGGCTGTTTGGCCCTCCATTAGTCGGGGTGTCTGGGCTTCTTTATCTAGCTCCAATGGTCCAGGGAGACCCATTCAGAAGCAGGAGTCAGAAGCAGGAGGCCTCAGGGTCCGGCCAGGGCCTGGGCTGTGCGACTGTCCCTCTGCCAGGCCACCATGCAGGGCTTTCACTGACGGACCCCTCCCCCAGGCCTGGAGTTTCATGCCAGTTCAGGCTCTGGCTCTGTCACTCCCTGGATGGGCACTTGTCTCCTGCCCATTCTGTTTGCAGTGGGTCACCTGTCCGTGCCCACAGAGGTGACTGTGGAGGAGTACCAGCCCACCTGGGTGGCTGGACCAACCACAGCATAGGCCACCCCGGGAGATTTTGTTCGGAACTTCGGCTTCGCAGGCTCTCACCATTGTTGTGGGTAGCAATCTTGTCAGATGCTCTTAGATGTTTTTCCAACACTTCCCGGGCTGCCCCGGGAGCCATTCCTCTCGCCCAGTTAGGATCCTGGCTCTTCCTCAATTTTGCCACTTGGCTATGATCAAGTACCTCATCTCGAGCCTCAGTTTTCACTTCTGCAAATGGAAGTCATATCCCTTACCTGTTGGTGTGAGGCACGGATGAGGCAGGGGAGGTGTGAGTGATGGCCATGGGGAGGACAGAGGCCACCCTGGGGGCTGCAGAAGCAGCAGCATCACAGCCCCTGGCCTCCAGGAAACTCTCCCACTGCTGCAGCCTGAGTCAGTCGGGGACATCTTGGCAGAGACCGGGGAGAAAGAGCTGGGGACCAGGTGTCGGCCCTGGTGCTGGGCCCTTGCGGCACTGGCTCCCCAGCTGGCTCTCAGCCTCCCCCTGAGAAGGCTGACTGCCACTCTGATCCCTGGGTCTGTGGCAGGTGGCAGGCAGTGAGGAGGTCTCAGCAGCTGCCCAGTGTCAAGGAGGGCCTTTCCAGGGTGCCCAGCAGCTGGGGTGTGTGTGCTGGGGAGACAGAGAGTTGGAAAGTCTCAGCCAGAAGCTAATAAACAATATTGGCTTACGGTGAAGGAGGAAGTGGGCAGCTCCACACCATTGGGACTGATCTATTGGTTAATTAGGAGATTTCCACAGCCACAGACTATGCCAGCTGTGTGTAGGGCCAGGTAGGGAGGGGGCCACAGGGTAATCAGGGCTGCTGGAAGGCCAGCTGGGGTCTGAATGTGGCTCAATGTCTCCCCTGAGCCAGGAGCCTCAAGGGGCTGAAGGAATAATGTGAGGGGTTGGGGTCAGGCAATGGACCTAGGACTTGACGGCTGGGGCACACCCATCAAGACCCGCTGTCCTGAGTTCCTAAACAGAATTCTGCTATAGCAGGGGGGTGGGGGCCCTCTGTGGTTTCCAGGGCAGCCAATTGAGTATGGGGTATGGGGAGCTATAGGTTTGGAGAAGAGTGCTGATGCAGAATGAGGAAGAACCAAGAGAAACACTGGAAACCATGGGATCTGAGAACAGAGGTCCCAGAGGTGGAGAAGTCGGTTCTGCTAAGTAGAAAAGGTAAACAGCAGTAGGTTTGAATCCAGCCTCTCCCAAACACAAGCTGTGTGGCAAATTGCTAAACCCCTCTGATTCCTGATGTCTACATCTTTAAAGAGGAAGGAATGATATCTACCTTGCAAAGCTGTAATTAGATTGAAGAATGTAACACTGTAGTAGCTGTTCCCTTCTCCAGGGGATCTTCCCAACCAAGGAAAGAACCCAGGCCTCCCGCATTGCAGGCGGATTCTTTCCCAGCTGAGCCATCAGGGAAGCCTCATGGGATACATACCAAGTGCTTAATAAGTATTTGCTATGTTTATTTTGTATCTGTTAGTATTAAGTTACTCTGACTTCCCTGATGGCTCAGAGGGTAAAGAACCTGCCTGCAATGCAGGAGACCCAGCTTCCATCCCTGGGTTGGGAAGATCCCCTGGAGAAGGGAAGGGCAATCCACTCCAGTATTCTTGTTTGGGAAATCCCAAGGGTAGAGAGGCCTGACTGCACTACAGTCCTTGGGTTCACAAAGAATCGGACACGACTGAGCGACCAGCACTACCACTACGCTATTAAGGTACTCAGGACAGGGCTTCGAAGGGAGAAGGGGCTTGGTAGAGGAAGCAGGGCTTCCAAGATGCTAACAGAGTTGGAGGAATGGGCAGAAGGACAACCCTCCTTCCTGCCAGAGTTGCTATGGACACAGTCTGGGGGTTGCCTGGCCTGGGGGCCTGCGGTTGGCTGCGTGGAAGCATTTTCACCGTCCAGGGGTGTCACTCCGTGGACTGAGTGTCAACTTCTCCTCAGAGGGTTCCTGGCTTTGGCCCCATCCCCTAGTACGGTCCGGCCCTGGAAGAGGAAGGACAGACAGACGGACACGCGGCAGAGCGGAGGCAGACAAGGTTTATTCTGGTCCTCTGGCAGGTAGGGCCCTGCACGCCTCTCCACCACCTGCGGGCTCTGGACCCCGCTCCCCGCCCCAGTCGCAGCCCGCCGGCGGTCTCCCGCGAGGCCGGGCGTTCCTGGAGCAGCCGGCGGGGCCCGGGGATCCCGGGCGGACGCGACGGAGGGCGCGGCGGGCACCACCCGGGGGGCAACGGGCGCGGGGGCGGCGGCGGCCGCAGGGCCACAGGCGGCGGAGGCGGGCGCGGAAGTGGCGGGAGGCGAGCGCGTAGACGAGAGGGTTGAGGCAGGAGTTGGCGTAGGCGAGGCAGTGCGAGGCCAGGCGGCAGGCGTAGGTGGCCGGGCTGAAGGCGAAGCGGCCATACCAGAAGCAGAGGATGAGCGCGTGGTGCGGGCCCCAGCAGAGGGCGAAGAGCGCCGCCACAGCCAGCATGACGCGCCCCGCGCGGCCCGTGGCTCTGCGCCGGGCCTCGGCCGCCGCCGCGCCCGCGGGGCCCACGGCTGCCCACAGGAAGTGCAGTGTGCGCCCGTAGGCCAGGCTCACCACGGCCACGGGCAGCAGGTAGCCGGCGGCGAAGGTGGCCACGTCGAGGGCGCGGCGGCGCGCGTCCTCCCAGGCGGGCACGCAGAGCTCAAGCGCGCCGTAGCGCACCGTGCCGTAGTAGCTGAGGTAGGGCGCCGAGAAGAGCGCCGCCAGCAGCCAGACCAGGCCCACGGCGGCGCGGGCGTTGCGCGGCGTGCGCAGGGCCCGCGAGCGCAGCGGGTGCCGCACGGCCAGGTACCTGCGGGCGGGCGCGGCGTCAGCGCGGCGGCGGGCGGGCGGCCTGGATACCGCCCGCGTCTGAACTGTCGCGGTGACCGCGCGCCGGGCTTCGCTCGCAGGGAGGTTGTGGGGATGAAGGGAGTTAGCGCGCAAAGCGCTTGGACCAGCGCCCGGCACCTACCGAGGCTGGGGCGGAGATCAGCCAGAAGTGACCAACCGGCCCACGGTCATCAGCGAGTTAACTAGAGAGTGAGCCTAGGTTTGACCCCAAGTTTCAAGCCCTGAAAGCCGGTCTGACCACAACTCGGGCCAGATGTGGGCGGTAATAAAATAGCTGATGAATTTCATTCGTGTGTTCCTTTTGCCATTCATTTCATGCTTACAGAGCGCGGACTAAGTGCCAAGCCCTGTGCTGACACTTGGAACACAAAGATGTTCTCTGGATTCTCCCAGTGAAGATGGGGTGAGGGCACGATGACCCCCTCAAGTATGCCCTGCAGTATACTCGGGGCAGTATGCCCCGAGACTGGTTGGTGGGGGCCAGACAGCTGTTCTTTTTCTCCCTCCCCCTCCCTTTTTGGTCCCCCATTCCCTCCTTCCCCTCCCCCAGACCGGGCCGCGTTCCCAGCCCAGCGCACCTGTCCACTGAGACAGCCGCCAGGGTGAAGCTGCTGGCGTACATGGTGAGGTAGATGAGCAGGTGCACAGCCTTACAAACCAGGGCCCCGAAGAGCCAGGCGTCCAGCGTGTAGATGGCGGCCTGGAAAGGCACGCAGCACAGGATGAAGCAGAGGTCAGCCGCCGCCAGGTTGAGGATGAATAGATCCGTCGTGCTGCCCGGCTCCTGCCAGGCACTTGGGCCAGGCTGCAGCAGCACTGCCAGCACCAGCCCGTTGCCCACCGTGCCCAGCAGGAAGATGAGGGCAAAGACCACGGGCACTGCCACAGCCCCCATACTTCCTGGGCTGTCTAGCGAAATGTTCTGAATATCAGCCATCTTCCCAACAGATGGGCACCTGAGGAAGAAAAGCTGGAGTCCTCAGCTCTGGTCACTCAATTCAGGGGTCTAGTTCCCCCACCATAGCCCTGGCCAAGTCTCCTGGGGTGGACGTTTGTGGGGGAATAGGGATGTTGGGCAGACAGAGACAAAACTTATCCCTGAGACCCACTGTGCAAGCTCCTGGCAGTCTCAATAGTGTCCAAGGTGGGTTTCTCAGTTTCCTAGGAAACATCCCAGGGCGTGAAGGACTAATTAGGTAGTTGATAGACACCTTCAACCAATGATGCAGGTAAAGATATATGCAAAGTGGGGTGTGGGGAGGGGCAGTTCCAACCCCAGGATCTGGTGCATTTTCCTCACTTTTCAATGGGGATGTGAAATACAGGGAAGACTTTTGGATATTAGTCAAATTCAACCAAACTGGGGTGACATCCTGAGTCATTGGATAGTCCAGCTTAGTGAGAGCACCACATGGCACAACTGGGAGCACAATATAGGTCACTGCCCACCTTTGCACATGAGGAAATTGAGGCTCAGAGAGGGGACTTGGGAAGCTAGTATCATACTCTGAGTGGTAGATCTGAGGTTGTTGCGACCCTGGTACCGACTCCCAGGCTGGATGGGAGCTGTAATAGGCGGTGCCCCTGACAACCTGCATGTGTGCGTGCGTGCGTGTGTCTGTGTGTGTGTTACATCTATGTAAGCTGTGATTACCTGACCCCTGTTACACCCCATGGCCCACATCGGCTGCTACTTATGGGTCTCCCTGCATGTTTGCACCTCTGGGGTAGCTGGATGAATGAAGGGCAAGGGGGCCGAGCAGGGAGGAGGAAAGAAAGGTGGTATCTTTGAGACCCCCCCCATCCCAGCATGCAGGAGCCCACCCCCACCCCTCACCCGCGCCACCAAGCCCAGATGGGCGACACAGACCTCAGTCCTGGGCACTGGGCTCCTGCTCTCCCTGGGCAAACTGACCAGGCTGAAGCTGCCTCCTGGCTCAGCGGCTTCCCCTTGGTGCCTACCTGCAGGTACAGCTCTGCCTCCCACTGCGCCCTCTTCTCCTTTAAGGGCTCTCCTCTCCCTCCGAAGAAGTTGCCACCTCCTCCTCAGCCCCTGATTTTCCCCGGGTGACATGCTCTTCTGCCTGGCTCTCCTCTTCTCCGCCTCTCTGCGTTGCTTCTGCCTTTCTGCAGGGAGTAACCCATTGATCTCGCTCTCTGAGATTCTCGCTTTGTGGTTAACCCCTCTGTGTCCAGGGCCCAGTCCATTTCTGGCCCTCTCACCTCCCATGGTCCTGCTTGCTCACTCCACTCCACATCCTCTCTGCTCCCTGCTCCAAAAAGGGCTCCAACCCAAGTTCAGAAAGGACTCCTAGTCTTTTTTTGCCACATGGCATGTGGGATCTTAGTTCCCCAACCAGGGATCGAACCAGAGCCCCCTGCATTGGAAGTGCGGAGTCTTAACCACTGAACTATCAAGGAAGTCCCAGGACTTCTAGTCTTGAATGGAGTGTCCAACGCTAGGAAACCAGATAAAAGTCCCTTTTTCTGCAGACTAGGATTCCTCCTGGCCCTGAAAACTTCAAGACCCATGAGCTTCCCTAAGCTGATTCCAGGGCTTCAGTCTGCCTGAAGACTGGAGGGTCTATGTGCGTGTCCAGAGTCTGACTTTTAGTCTTAGGGCAGTGGGGAACTACAGAAGATTCCAGAGCAGAGGCGTGACCTGCTCATTTATTTTGTAATTAGCTTATTATGGCCTGGGGTTGACAGAATGGCTAGAGGGGGAGTGATTTAATGAGTGACCCATTAAGAGCCTCTCCTCCAGGCAAAGAGGTTACCAGGTCTTGGTGAATGACTGGTGATTCTGTCATGGGGTTCTGGTCCGGACCTCCTCTTGGAGGAGGAGTGGACCACATGGCCACATCTTCCAGAGGGTTAGAGGCCAGTGGGACAAGATGCATTGGATTTAACAACAAGGTGGTTGTTGGTACTAGACAAATGTAGTGGGGGCAGAAGGCAGTCTGCAATGAATGGGGAAGAGAGGCGGTAGAGGTTGTGTAGTCTTTCTAGAAGCTGGGAGGGTGGGGTGAATGTCAAGAAGTCTGTGCAAAGAGAAAGAAAACAGCCTGAGAGGATGCTGATGAAACCAGGACTTGCAACCAAGGCCTGAGAAGCTGGGACGAGACTCTTCAGAACTGGCTTCCTGAGGCCCTGGGATGTTCACCAGTGCTCGCACTCCTCTAAAGCCTGATGCCACCCAACACAAATGTGGAACATCCCTGAACTTTTAGAAGCAGAAACTCATTGAATTGAAAATATTAGGGATCATCCCTAGATTCTGCAAACCTGAATTCAGAGCTATCAAAACTGCATTAAGGAGTTAGAATTGTAGAATCTTGTGATCTCGGAAGAGAAGAACTGTAGGATCCAGACTTAGAGTGGTGGGATTTGAGAACTTGGGGATCCACAACCATCTTGTATGGAAGGAATGCACTGTGAGATGCCCAGAAGCCTTGACTCACAAATGTGGCGGGCCTGGACCCTGAAAGCCCTGATTACACTGCCCTCCCTCCCCTTGGGAGCCCCAAGCCAGCTACGGCCCTCCTTGCCAGAGTCTGGACTCTGGCTGGGTTGCAGCAGTTCTAGGGCAAAGAGCTCCCAGGAGCAGCTAAGCTGAGCTGTGATGACAGCCGAGGAGAGGAGGATCACAGCAACCAGAGCAGGACCACCTGTGAGGCAGGCAGGATGGGCGCCTCACCATGGCCTGAGCCCCTGCGGGCCCCGGGTACCCACACCTCCCCTTGTTCCAACTGCTGCTTCTGGCGGCTGTGGCCTTGAACCCTGCGCCCAATGTAGAGGACAGATGGTGCGCCCTGAGAGCAGTCCCTGGAGATCTGGGCCCTGCAAGATGTGAAAGTGCGACTTTGTGGCTGGCCCTATAGCCTGTTTTGGCCTCTGGCAATGACCAGTATGTGCTGAGCCCAAGCATGTGTGCCAAGAGGTGCCCCTGTGCCCGTTGGCACCTCTTCTGACCCCTTGGGACAGTTGCGGAAGACCTGCGCCATGGTGGACCTGGGCCAGTACAGGTCACATGCTGAACCATGAGCTGGCTGAAAACTTGGCGCCCTACTGTGACAAGCTGGCCCACAGCGTCACAGTGCTGGGCTGTCCCCAGGCACACAACGTCAGCAGCTGGTGGTGCCTGGAAACTGTAGGAGGAAGAAGCATGCACTCTGTACCACTGGTGGGTGGACCTCACCTACGGCTATCTTATCTGGGCATCACCAACTGTGACCCGTCCTGCCGTGGCTGCTCATGGCCACCTGCCATGACCTGCCAGCCTGAGCAGACCACACACATCAAGCTGCTGGCCTGGCCAGGGGCTGGGCACCAGGCGGTGGGTACTTGCTGCTGAAGTGCACCTGGTGCTAGATGCCCTACCCCATGTTTGGGCCCCTGACGTGGCCACTGCAGCCCCCTTCCCTGGGGCTGCATCCCCCAGTACCCCAAACTCCTGGACCCCCAGCTTCAAGCTGCCCAGGATCACAGGCTAGGATTCTCAGAATCCCAGCATTAAGACCCTGCTGGCTGGGACCAGAGCTCACCCAGACTGTCCCTCTCTAGACACCCAGGCTGAAGGGAGGGCTGGGGGTGTGGGGCACCAGAGCCGTGGCCCCCACCTTTAATGAAAAAGGGCTTTTTCATCCTCCCTGCCCTCTCGCCAGCAGACTATCAGCTCCCAAGGCCACACCATGCTGAGGCTGGAGCTATGTGACTCAGACCCATCCTTTACCCTACCAGGTGCCCATAAGGCCGTGGGGAGGGCTATGGAGAGAGAAGGGCTGCAACGATGGGAAGGGGACTGTCATCTCCAGCAGGGGAGCAGTGAGCCGTTGTCGGGGGTTGGGGGGGGCAGTGGGGATGGGGCCTTGCCTGTGGGGCTGTAAAAACAGCCTGTCCAAGGCCTGAAGTCTAGAGGGGGCTGGAAAATAGCAGCCAGAACCCGAGCTCACTGTGCCCCCTGGCGGTTCCTCTGACTAGACCAGTGAACCCTGGGAATATGGAGATGGAAGGGCTCCAGATACCAATATAACAGCCAGTCTTGGTACAGCAGGGAAGACCGAGGCACACACGGGGGCAGGGGCTGCCTAAGGCCACAGAGGCAGGGACAAAGTGGAGCTAGAATATAGGGTTCCAGTATCTCGGGGCCTCTCCAATAGTGACAGACATTCTTTCCTCTGGGGCGCAATCTTCTGCTTCTCCCAAACATGGACTTGGGTGTCCAGCCCCTTTCTTATCTGGGCAGCTGTAGGCCATCCTTGGGGTGGGGAGCAGAGGACGAGGGTTTCACCAGGGCTAGACTCTGGAGGCTGCAGAGTAGGGGGGGCGGGTGGCATGGGAAGGGACCTGTAGGGCTGGTGCTCAGCTTCTCTCTACGTCAGGAAAGCATCCAACTGAGCCAAATGGTGGCCCCGGCCTCTGTCATCCCACCTGCCTGGGTCCCATCTTAATTTCGGAGAGGTGATTAACTCTGAGAGCTATCACAGCCCTCAAAGCCCCAGCTCCTGCCTGATCCTTCAACCAGCTTCAGGACTGGGGCTGCTCCGAGAAAATAAAGCAGAACAACACATCACAGCCGATTGCCACACTGTTGTTTTAGCCTCACACCCACAAGCACAGGCCTCCTGCCAGCCTGGCGCCAGGAATGACAGAGCTCAGAGCCTCTGGCCTGGGCTGATCAGAGGCCCCCCTTTTCACTGTGTTGGGAGGGGGACCTCAGCTCTGCTGGTCACTACCCAGAACTCAAGGCAGTGCCCCATGCAGTCGCCCCACCTCCACGAAGGCCTCCACGCAGCGGTCAATGTCCTCCTCGCTGTGCACTGCTGAGATCTGGACTCGGATCCGGGCCTTGTCCTTGGGGACCACAGGGTAACTGAACCCAATGACAAAGATGCCTGCGAGGGTAGAGAGGGTCAAGTTGGGGCTCACCAGAGCCAGGCAGGCTCTGGGGGGCATGACAGATAGCTCTTACTTTTCTGGGGGCTACAGAGGGCAAGGGAGTGGCCAAAGGTCTCTCAAACCTAGGACTGCCTCATGGCCTAGGGTTTTCAAGCTTGGACAGACATCTGATCTAAGAAGGGTAGTAGGGCTGGGGGAAAGGGGGATATTCACAGTCTAAGGGTTCCCTCCTTTTCTTTTAGGACCCACAGCCACATCTCAAGCCCCGCCTCCTTACCTCTCTTAAGCATGTCATCTGCTATGTTTAAGGCCAGCCGAGCATCACCCAGCATCACAGGGCAGATGGGGTGATTAGCTCCTGAGATGGTGAAGCCAGCAGCTTCCATCTGACTGCGGAATCTGTGGGCATGAGCTGGGTGTTACTGGGAGTTGGGAGACTGTGGAGTAACCACATCCACTCCTGATGGACATGGATGTGACCCAAGGCTTGTGACCAAGTCTGCAGGAGGGACCAACAAAGACAGAGATGCTGACCCAGAGAGGCAGATGGGGAAAGAGGCAGAGGAACAGGAAGACCAGTTAGGGAGGCGGAAAGACAGGACTGTACAAGAAGGGGGAATGCAGCATTATTTGCAAAGAAATGCACCGGGGAGACTTCCCTGGGAGTCCAGTGATTAATACTCCATACTTCCAATGCAGGGGGCGTGGGTTCGATCCTTGGTTGGGGAGCTAAGATCCCACAGGCAGTAGGGCCAAAAAATAAAAAAAAAAATAAACATACATGAAATGTACCAAGAAATGGGAGAAAAAGACAGAAAGAAGAGGGTGAGGGCAAGCAGGTAGCCCCTGGTTAAGAGAGCCAAGTTCCAGTGCAACCCGCTGGGGACACAGAGGTGGGCAGAGGCAGGATGCAAAGGCAGGGAGTTATGGGCTTGTACAGGCACACAGGGCAGACCCTCACTAGCTCCCTCGCCCCAGCTGGCCCCACCCTGCCCAGGACCGCACCGCAGGGTCTTGGCCGCCATAGACTGGACGATGGCATTGCTCTCCATGAGCAGGTCCAGGGCCTTGGAGGCACAGCCGACAGAAGCAGGTGGCAGACTGTTGGAGAAGAGGTAGGGCCGGGCCCGCTGCCGTAGCAGGGACACCAGGGCCCCAGGCCCGGTCGTGTAGCCCCCTGAGAACAAGGGTGAGCACAAGGAGCCAGAGCTTACCCCATGGCCCTCCTGAGAGGACAGTCCATGCTGTCTTCTTCCCTGCAGCCCCAGGTCTCCCCTTCCCACCTCCCTCAAGACTCCTCCAGGGCCATGCGTGCAGATAAAGGGAGCCCAGGGGCCCAAGCCAGCAGGCACCTGATGCTCCACCCAGTGCCTTCCCCAGTGTGGAGTTGATGATGGTGACTTGGTCCATCACGCCCAGCAGCTCATCTGTGCCCCTGCAAGGGAAGCTGCCATTACCACCACGGCCACCTGAGCACCCAGACTCATGGGTTGGGCGTAGGGGCTGGCCTTGTTGTTTCCCACCCACCCTGATGAGTCCAACCCAAGGCCTCAGGGGCTGTGTGCTCCCACCGTCCTGTGGCCCCCAGGAAGCCAGTGGCGTGGCTTTCATCCACAAAGACCAAGGCACCGTATTGAGAGGCAAGGCGGCAGATTTCCTGCAGGGGTGCGATGTCACCATCCATGGAAAAGGCCCCATCAGTGGCCACAAGGCGCAGCCGATGCTTCTACAGAGAAGATACGGAAGGCAGTGGCTGGTATCACGAGTTGGACCAAGTCACTCCCTTTCTGTGCTGCTTGGAGCTCTAAAGGCTCACTCTGCCTGTGCCCAGAACAGAGATGAGCACACATGTACCCTCGTGCTGAGGCTGGCACATCCTCTCCCTCCTCTGGGCCTTCCCCATCTCCTCCAGGGCAGTCTGGAGACATGCTTAGCCACTGGGCAGTGAGAATGCTCCCAGTCTTCTCTCCAGAGGGCAGGGTGGAGTGGGGTCAGTTCTGTCCATAAGCTTATCCCACTCTGATGCTGGGCAGGCGCCTGCCACACATAAGGTGCTTCCTCGAACTCAAAACAGCATTGTGCCATGGGATAAAGTTTTGGGTCTAAGATTGTTGTTGTTTAGTTGCCAAGTCATGTTGCGTCTGAGGATCTGGGTTCAGATCTTGGCTGTTTAGAACTTTCAGGCTATTTGCCTGTGAGTGAGGAAATGGCTTCTGCAAGCCTCTTTTCCTTCACTGGGGAAGGGGGCAGTTTGCAGGGGAGGCTGAGGATAAAACCTTGGCCCTGGACGCGTGAGACCCTGCTGCACCTGGGCCTCCTGCAGCTTGGCTTCCAGATCAGCCATATCCAGGTGGCGGTAGCGGTATTTGTGGGCCTTGCACAGACGGATGCCGTCAATGATGGAGGCATGGTTCAACTCATCCGACAGGACTGCGTCCTCCGAGGTCAGCAGGGCCTGGTGGAAGGCAGTCAGAAGTAGAGCCATCACCCAACCACCATGGGGTTCTCCCTCCCTCATGACTCCCCCTGAATCAATATTTCACTGCAAACCAGGGCATTCTTCTGGGCAGGGAGGCAAGGAGCCCCTGCCTCTCTCTTGATCCCCAGGGGTTCCAGGACTGGGCTGAATCAGAGACCCTGCTCTAGCAAAAGCAGGTGAGAACATGTTTGGTGAATGCCTGGCCCTAACACCCTCAGCCTTCCAGCTGATGTAGGTTACCTCCCAAATGCCCTGGAAGCTGGCCTCCATGTAAGCCCCAGGATTCCTCCTGGAGACATGCTGGCCCACTGGAGCCTCTAGACACGGCCCTGGTGTCCTGCTAAGTGCTCCGGACTGCACACTCCCAAGCCCTGCACAGCCTGGCAGGCCTCACCAACTCCCACCCGTGGTGTCACACACCTCAAAGAGGCCGGTGTTGGCATCAAAACAGCTGGGATAGAGGATGGCATCCTCCCGTTGGTGGAAGCGGGCTATCTTTGCTTCTAGATCTTTGTGGATGCTCTGAAGTAAAGGAGTGAAACACATATCAATGCCTTTGGGGCCACATGGGACAAGTCCTGGGGACAGAGGCTTAGAGGGCCACAAACAGATCCTCCCCCTTCTTTTTGCACCACAAGGGTTCACCCAGAGCTAACACAGGAATCTGAAGCATTAGGGGCCCACTAGGTGCCCCTCTTCCTGGTTGGGTTTTCATTTTACAATGGGGGTCTGATGGTAGAATTACGGATGCTAATGGCAAAGGAAGATATTTTCTCTATTAAACTGAGTACCCTTTTTTTCTATTTTCTATTTTCTTTATTTTCCTTTTGTTTATTTATTTTTCGGCCACACCACACAGCATGCAGGATTAGTTCCCTGACCAGGGATCAAAGATCAAATCTGCGCCCCTTGCAGTGGGAGCACAGAGTCTTAACCACTGGATCATGACCTAAGTCCCTAAGTGCCTTTTCCTGTTGTTTAATGGCAAAAAGGAGGATTACATAAGTAACTCTAGGTTCATTTGGGCCTCCACTTGTTAGATTTGGAAGCTGTCCAGTCTAACCTGCCCTGGTTGGAAGTCAAAATTTCCATTCATTTCACCTTCACCTTTCTGAGAGGACAAGTAATAATAATCAAAAGGACTCAGAAGCACTGACTCTTGAGCAAGGCCATATGGGTTCAAGTTCCACCACAATAGGTTGTGTCCTCTGGGCAAGTTAATTAACTTCTCAGGGCCTCAGTGTCCTCATCTCTAGAACAGGGGCAAGAATAACACTTAGAACTTGGGATTATTATCTGCATTAAGAAGTAATTTGCAATGTTCTTAAAATAGCACATGATACATAGTAAGCACTGTAAGTTTCATGTATAAAGAGTTCATTTTATAGCATATACAAAATAAAATTATTAAGCAACATTTATTGAGCACTGCTGTGTGCCAGGCCTTGTTCTCAGCATTTTTACATGTATTGGGCTGGCCAGAAAGTTCATTCAGGGTTTTCCGAACGATGTTACAGAAAAACTTCAACAAACTTTTTTGCCAGCTCACTATTAACTCTTTAATTTGGGGTAATCTTATTAAGTATTATTATTCCCACTTTACTAATGAAGGCATTGATGCTCAGACAAGTTAAGACACTTGCCCATGGTAACAGAACCAATAAATGGTACTAGAAACCAAACTCAGGCAGAATAGCTCCAGAAACCTCTATTTCAATCCCTGCCTTCTATTCTTCCTTTCTTGAAGAGGAACAGGTAAGAAGCTCTGTTCTGTGGGTGGGGAAATAGATACTCTGAGAGGTTAAATTTCTTGCCCAAGGCTTCACAGCAAAGCAGAAGCTTGAACCCAGTTTTTCCAGTGAACAGCACTGGGGCTAAGCATGGGCCTGGAGTTCTGGGATGAGCTGAGTTGCCTAAACCAGCCCTGCTGACTGCAGAAGCAGACATCTGAAGTCAGTGCCCAACCACCCCTTCCTGCCCGGCCCCAGCCCGGGCCACACCCTCCGTGTACCTGGGTGCCACAGATGAAACGGACAGAACTAAGGCCAGCTCCAAACTCCTTTAAGGTCTGCAGACCTGCCTGGATGACCTCAGGGTGGCTGCTCAGGCCCAGGTAGTTGTTGGCACAGAAGTTAATAATTCCTGAGATGGAGGACAGGGGATAGACACAGGAACTCAGGACAATCAGGGCCAGGCCCTGGGGACTCAAGAGAGGAAATGAACCTGGAGTCACCCTTGAAGAGGCAACAACCATACAATATGATCTGTTCTGGGGCAGAGGCCAGGCTGGGGAGCAGGGATCCCCTAGGAGGCACAGAATTCAACAGTTACAGGAGAGGGAGGGGCAGAAATGGACTCCCAGAAGAGCACTTTGGAGAAGGAGAAGGTTTGGATCACATTCACCCACAGCCCTTCCTCTCTGGCTTCTTCTATCTCTGAAGACAACCAGTAACCCCTCATCCGGCCCTTGGCTCTTTCCTGGGTAAAAGAAGAGGGCATCACAGAGCCCTACAATGGTCTCCAAACTCCACACAGTTGACTTTCCTGCCTGGTACAGAACTGTATGCCCAGGAGGGTGGCCTCTCTGAGACCTTGACCCTTGCATTTTAAAGCCCAAAGTGGACACAGCTGACCCAGGAAGGAAACTAAGGCTCCAAGAGGGCAAGGTTTACTCAGTTTGGGAGAGGCAAAACAGGATGGGAACCTGGGTCTCCTAATTTCCCACTGTTTGATCTGCTCCAAGGTTCCCTGGAGGAGGAGAGAGACCTCTGTTTTACAAATAAGCACAACAGCACCAAGTATTCCAGGCCTATTTCCTGGGCAGAAGGCAGGTTTGGAGGCCTATTGGTAACCAGCACCCACCTGGGTCCTGGCACAGACAAGATGAGCAGTGACCACAGATGAGACAGAAACCAGGGAGGCCTGGTGGGCCAGTTCACAGTATGACTTGTGGGGCAGCCCTCAAGCCCCTTGCTCAAATAGTGATTGTGGCCAGAAAGTTGGTCTCTATGGACAGTTAGGTGACCTTCCTGCTCCAATATACCAGAAGACCTACCCTAAAAGCCCAGCTCTTCCTGCAGCTAGCTGGGGGTTTATGGGCAAGGCACTTAAAATCTATGAGCATCAGCTTCTCTTCGTTTGTAAATGGGACCAGTCATGCCCATGTTTTGAGATTTGCAGGAGTGCAGGCGCAGCGATTAGCAGAAATCTGAACAAAGCAGCAGCTCTAGAAATGTGGGATTTCTTGCTGCTGCCTTCCCATCACCCTTTCTTAAATCCGTATGGTGGGAGCCAACTGGCTGTCTCGCTTTCTTTCTTAGGTTCTCAGCGGCTGGATCTCGGATCGAGCCCTGGCCTCTAAATCAAAAAGGTGCTCAAAGGGCAAATTACCTTCTTCTGGGGGAACAGGTCTAATCAAGTTAATTAGAATTAACTGTGGGAAAAGGCAAGTCGGCCTGACAGATGGGAAACGGTCCAGCAGCGGCTACGTGTGCCCGTGCTCCGGCCCGCTCACTGCCTCCTGGATCTCCATTTCAGAGAAACCCTCAGGACGGCCCCCCGAACACCCGGCCAGGTCTGGCGATTCCCAGGAGCGGGTAGTTACCTCCCGGGGCGCCGTCCACGTGGATGTGCGGCCCCTGACTGGACGTGATGACCCGCTCGCTCTTCCAGGTGCCAGCTCTACGGATGCTTTCCAGCTCCTCCTTCAGGATGCCACGCAGCTGAGCCAGCGCCGACTGCGCCCGGCGGCCGCGGGAGGCCCCGGAGAGCGCAGCATGTAAGACGCGGCCAGCCCACATTTTGCCCACCTCGCCCGAGCTAGACTGCCGGCTCAGGTCCTTGCGCACCAAGGCCGCGGCGTCATCACGTGCGGGGGCAGGGCCCCGGCAGCCAATCGAAGTGAGAAGGGCTCCGCTCTAGGGCAAGGGAGGCGGACCTAGGAATAGGAGGGCGGGACCTGGAGGGATCAGCAGAGGACGAAAGTGGAGTGACTTGTATGTAAGCTGAGACTGGAGCTGTCCCTGTTGGGGGAGAGGCGGCGGCGGGGTTTGGAAGACACATCAGGGCCAGGCCCACCAGACCCCCCCACCCCATTCCCATGCCCTCCCTACACACGCATCTCCCGGAAGGTAGGGACGCCCTCTGGACGCGGGCGCTTAGAAGCAGGCTGAGGCACGTTCCATATGCTCCGGCCCTAAGGTTTCCTGGGTCCTGTCGAGCTCTTGGAACTCTCCCTAGTGCTTAGGTGAAAACGCCCCCAGGTTTCGCCCACCATATTGCTCCGCATTCTCCTTCAGTTTTAGAAGTATGGAAAAACACACCGCTCAGATTTTTTCTTTTTTTTTTTTACATTTTATTTTAAAGTTTGAAAATTACAAAGACAGCAAATTCTTCCAGCCACAAGGAACACTTATTTAAAAATAAAAAGGGGCGAGGGGGGTGGGAAGAGCGCAAGCGCGCCTATTTAAAAAAAAGGAAAGACTGTACAGGGTTTTTTCTCCCAGCTCCCGGGTGTGAAACGTTAAGTACTAGCCCTAGGTATGCACACACACACACACACACACACACACACACACACACACACATCAGACCTAGCTCTGTAAAACTACTTAGCAACTCAAAGTCGACTGCAGTATGTCTTACTGTCCACTCCCCGCCCTCCCCTCCTCCCCCGTCTACCACTACGTCTAAAAAAAGTAAAGAGGTCAGGAGGTTTTTAAGTGGTGAGTGGTAGGGGCGAAGCCCCACTGGACTGCCAAGCAAAGCCACCTCTTGTATAAGAGGAACCAAAAATAAGGGGTGAAAGGAAAAAGGTCCTCCTAGGAAACAATACAATTGTGTGGAAAAACCCAAGTTTCAACGGGAGCACACTGAGGCACTTGGCTGACACTCCTCACCCTTCCCAAGTTTCTACTCCCATTTAACAAGAGACTTCCTGAAGCCACAGAAACCCCCAGTGGCTAGTTTCTAGCTGACTGAAAAGCTCCAGTTTCTAGGACCAGCTGTCACTTTAACCCTCCCTCTGGTTCCCTAGGACAATAGAGAGGCCACGCGGACAAACTAACAAAAGTGAGAAGAAAACTGGGTTTGGAAGTCCCACTCTCACCACGGGAAGGTGGCAGACAGCCAAGAGAGGGATTCCCCCCACCCCCATCTACCTCCTTTGCCGTCCATCTGCTGCCATCCCTCTCTACTCCCCACCAAGGTTCTGAAACTCTCACAAGGAGTGCTCAACTTAAAGCTTGATGGTCTCTGAGGAACTCCTACAAATCTTACAGTTCCTGGGCTCACTGTCACCTAGCCCCAACAAACTACCTTGCCCATTCCTCCCCCCAGCCCCACCGACTTTTACCTTCCGAGTGAACCAACCACCCAACTAAAGAAAACACACAAACCCACCCAAATTCCCAAACCCACAAGCAAATTAGTAACAAATAAAATATAAGTACATTCTCATCATTACAGAGATATTTGTTGTTGCTGTCCTTGCATGGTTGGTTAAGGAAAAATGAATTATTCCCTAATTTCTGAGAAATAAAAATTCTGTCTCTTTACAAAGTCAGAAGGGAAAGGGGCAAAGGATGGCAGATGAGACCAAGAGAGAAGGAGAAAGTATTTACAGAAAATAGACAGGCAGGAGTGTCCACAAGAAAAGCCTCATTGTCACTTCTTCTTGCCGGTCCTCTTGGCACTGGACTTGGCTTTGGGCTTCACTGGTTTGGCCTTCTTAGGCTTGGATGCCTTGACTGGCTTGGCTTTGACAGTCTTAGGTTTTTTGGTTTTCTTGGGCGTGGCAGCCGGCTTCTTCTTGGCCTTCTTGACTGGGGTGGCTTTGGGCTTCTTGCTTGGGGCTTTGGAGGCAGCCTTCTTGGGCTTGGCTGCCTTCTTTGGCGTAGCCACCTTCTTGACTTCCTTCTTCGTCTTCTTGAAGGCCACGGACCTTTTGGGCTCGTCGCTCTTGGCCAGGCGGAAAGACCCCGAGGCACCCACCCCTTTGGTCTGCTTGAGGACTCCAGTGGTGACCAAGCGCTTGATGGACAACTTTATCTGGGAGTCCGCGTTCTCACCCACCTTGTAGTGGCTCTTGATGTACTTCTGGATGGACTGGCGCGAGGAACCAGCGCGGTTCTTCTCTGCCTGGATGGCAGCCACGATCATGTCTGAATACTTGGGGTGGTCTGTGGACTTCTTGGAGGCCTTGGCCCGCTTGGGCTTGGCCGCAGGGGTGGACGTGGAGTTCTCGGTCATGGTGGCCTGCCTGGTCCTGCTGTTGAAGACGGCACCTTCCAAAGGGCCAGCCCTCGTCGGAAGCCGAGAAAAGCCTGATTCGGGATCTGCTCTGGAGCCTCTGGCTCCCAGGCCAGTCCAGAGGCCGACTCTCGGTGGCCGGCTCGGGTCGCGGGGAGGGCTCACTGGGCCGTGTCTGCGTGGCCCAGCCCCGCCGGTCTGTCGCTCGGTCGGTCTCGGCTGGCGGCTCTGCCTCCGCCTCCTCCTCTTCTGCCTCCTTTCTGCCTCCCTTTTCCCAGCTCCGCGTCTGGCGCTCGGGCGGCGCATCCGGGTATTTAGCCGCGGCGGGCGGACCGCGGTGAGGACAGGGCTGCTGGCTGCCTGCTCCCGGCCCGGAATGGCGCCGCGCCGCCGCCATCTGTGTTTCTTCCGCCGAGCAAATCCGACCTTTCCTCCCGGCCCGGGCCTTCCTGCTCCCCGCCGCCGCTCCGGGCCGCTGCCTGGTTCTCTGAGCTCCTCCGCCAGGCGTCCAGCTCCCTCGGCCGCCGCCCCCCGCGCCCGCCACGCGCCCCAAACAGCGCTGAGGACCGGTGGCGCGCCGGCACATTTCCCCTTTGCGGGGGGCTGGCTCTGCGGGGCCTGGGAGTCCCGCTGCTTGAAAACCCCCGTAGGAAAGCTCCCCCCTGGGGCTACCGGAGACCCCACTCCCGGCCCGCCGCGGGACCCTCCAGCCCATCAGAGCGGCCCGAAAGCGGCCCCAACTAACACACGCGGCCCCGAGACGGGCGACTCCCAGCCGGGCCGAGCTGGGACAGGGGGGAGGGGTCGCTCCCCCGGGGTCTGGTCACCTCTCGGGGGTCATCCTGCCACCGGGCCCCCCGCACCTCTACCATCTCTCAGTCCATGGGACCCCGAAGTAAACTTTCCCTGGAAGAGTTGGAAGGGCACTTTCAAACTTTGCCCCTTCCCCCTCCTCTCTGTTCGCTCCCCCAGCGCGCCCCCGACATCTGCATCGAGGATCTCTCCTGAGGCCGAACCCCGAATGATGCCTGAGTTCCTGAGGGAATGAAGAGGGGTCTCCCAGGTCTCCTCCTCTCCTCAAAGACCACCCCCCCCATCCTCCATGTATCCTACCTGGGAATTCATTTATAGTCCTTCCTCAGCCTAGGAGTTTTGGGGTGTCAGAGACAGAGCTTGCTGCCCCCACTCCTAGGACCCAGCCTGGGGGTCTAGTCCCCCTCCCAGGACTCCTTGAAGACGATGCGCAGGGAGGTCCACAATGAAGGCGCTGCTCGGAAGTCTCTAATCAAAGACTGTCTTGGGGACCCCTGGGATGAGGAGAAGCCCTGAGAGCTTTGGGAGTTTGGGAAAACGGGGCTCTGGCGGGGAGGTCGAAGAGAGGGTCATATTGCTTGAGTCCTGAGTGATCTTCAGAAAGTGTGAGTTGTTCAGGGAGCCCTGGGCGGGACCACCTCCATTTTGCTCGGAAGATGCGATGTCTTTGTTAAAATGTATGTATCTTTCCCCTTGCTGCTTGGCAGGTTACAGATAAGGAAAACAAGGGGCACCACCGTCTGTGGGGAGCTTTGGGGGCTCAGAGGGGCTTTAGTGGTCAGAGGCGCAGCGTTCCTGGGACCTCTTGTCTGCCATAGACGTCCTATATTCACATGCAGGGTCCCGCTTGGCAGGGGTCCTAGGTTGAGATTGTAATGCTCCCTCTCTGAGCCCCCTCCCGCAACAACCCGCTTTTATTCTCCAAGCAAATAAGCTGTCACTCTTAGCTTAAACAATACCCTGGTGGTGGGGATTTATAGCTAGTCAAAATGATGAAAGTATCTGTGTAGTAAGGTCCAGGAGGTGTTTGCAGACACCAGCTGTAGACGGGGAAGGGTTGGAGGGTTTAGATGGGGGAAGATAGGGGAAACTGGTCGCTATTGGGAGGGGTGTGGGGGGGGGGGAAGGCTCCTACTGGACTTGGGAGTCTCTGAGGACAGGGAAATTAATGGGCTCCCCCCCCTCACACACACACACCAAGGGCTGGATTAATCCAAATGATTGGGAACGGGGAGGGGGAGTCTTGAGACTGTATCGGTATGGGATACCTTCTCCGGGGCTTATCTTGGTGGCACAGATGAGGAAGAGAAACCAGGAAGGGCCAGGTTAGATCAAAAGCTCAACCTTCTAATTTGGATATTGTCAATTACCTCGAAGTCTCCTGGCTTGAAAACACAACATTCTGATGGGTTTGCTTTGGTTATTGTCAAAGACAGTTCTTCCGGTTCCCACTAAGATCTAGATTGGGAAAATAGGCATCCACGTGACAGCCACAGGTCCGAGATGTTGTTTCACCCAGCGATCCTATAGACATGTCATCCCCCCTTCCCAGGTCCCCGCGTGTCTCAAAATAAGGCCTGAATGAATTCAATGGCACCATTATGAAATAATTTTATTTGCACAGCGCTCTCCACCCGTTTCTTGATCCTTCGCACCTCCTGCCTGGGGAAGCAGGTAACGCCATCACTCTCCCCCCGCCCCCGCCCATCACTCCCAGTTTACGGTGAAGGTCACGGGAGTAGGAAGGATGGACGTGGAGGCGCTTTGTGAGGCTCAGCTCCCCACCCCCCCAGGCCTTCACTTCACTTTGTAGTTCTCACATCTCGAATCCCCGCCCATCCCAGCAACCAGTAAATTCTCTCCTGGTCCTGAAGCCAGAAATGGAGGGAGGTGTCACTTGGGGTCTCGGGAGCTTTGCCGCCGGCGGATAGCCTTTCTCCATGAAGGCGCCGAGATTCTCTGCCCCTCCCCTTGTAAGGGAGAACTGGGTAGGAAGGTGGGGCGGGGGGCGGGGGGGGGGAGGGGTGGTTGGCAGGGGTTTCCCCGGAGTTGGGCATAGAGTCCGAGACCGAGGTGGGCACGAAGGGAACAGGCTGCCTCCAGATTGGCTTGGGCTCACCTCGCCTCGCAGACACTGCAGAGTCTGGGGGTCTTCTAGACCGCGACCCGGTCCCACCCGCCTACCCTGGCAGGGTACACTCGGGTCTCCACCAAGCTTCGAGTCGATTACTGGCCGCCAGAAGGCGGAACTCCCTCCGCCTCATTTAACGCGAGCCCTTTAAAAACTCGGGAGCCGCCGAGCTGCGGGCAATTCCTCCTGGGAAATGTAGTCCCCGGGTGGCAGCCCCGCACTGCGACCCGCCGGGGACCTCCCGAGCCTCGGAACTGCGGGGCCGCCCCAAGCGTGGTCAGACCTCGCCTGTCCATTCATTTAGGGAGGGGCCAAGACCTCCCTGCAGTTCTTCGGTTGTCAAAAAAAGCCCTTGGTGTTTTCACTTATCATAATGGGGCTCTACCTACCTCTGGGGTTGGTGTGGAGGTGAAATGAAATCCTGTATGGAAAAGGGTAAATCAAGCTAGAATGCCGGGGTCTTGTTTTTACTAATATGCCTGGGTGAATGTGCCCCAAAGTTTACTGAGTACATTCAAGTCATACATAACATCATTTTTCAGAGAGGAGGTCTGTGATGGCTAAATGATTTGTCCAAGGTGGGTGAACCAGGAGGGTGACGGGTGACAGACTCTCAAGCCAATGACTTTCCCGCTCCAGATGTGAACTCATTCTGGTCTTTGGAAAACTAAGGTATTCATCTGGTATGTGCCAGGCCCTTGGGGTACGGCTGTGAACAAGAGATCTCTGCTCTTGTGGAACTACTTTCTAGTGGAGAAGCTAGGTAAGCAAAGAAGTCCGTTGTATGGTATGTCGGACAGCCATGATTGCAAAGACAAAAATTAGAGCAGGGGGACTCCCCAGGTGGTCCAGTGGTTAACAATTCACCTTCCAATCTGGCCGAAACAAGTTCAGTCTCTCCCTGGTTGGGGTACTAACGTCCCACGTGTTGTGGGGCAGCGAATCCCAGGTGCAGCAACTTCTGAGCCTGGGACCACTGGAGCAGGTGCTCCGCAAGAAGAGAAGCCCTTGTGCTATGTGAGAAGACCATGTGCCACAACAAAGACCCAGTTCGGTAATTAAAAAAAAAAAAATAGAGCAGGGTAAGGGGGAGCTAAGAGTGCTGAGAGAAGAATGTTTGCAGTTTTAAATAGGCTGGTCAGAGAAGGACTCATTAAGAAATGGACATGTGAGCAGATTCAAAGGAGGTGAGAAAGGGAGCCATTTTTACTCTTGGAGGAAGAATCTTTCAAGCAGAGGGAATAGCCAGTGCAAAGGCTCTGTGGCAGGAATGTACAGGGTGGCTGAATTAAGGGGACACTAAGGGGAGATGAGGGTTTTTTTAAAAAAAGGTCTGGGAAACAAAGGAGGCACAGGTCACATAGTTTGGGATACCATTGTAGGGACTTTGGCTTTTAATCTGAGGGAGATGGGAGCCACTGGAGAGTTTTGAGCAGAGGAGGGACATGATGGGACCCAGGCAGAAGCCAACCAGTCACCTGTTGCAGCTGTGTGGAGAAGCTTCAGAGGGCAAGGACAGAAGCAGGGTAGGGAGTCTGTTGCAGTAATCTAGGTGAAAGATCATGGCAGTTTGGTCCATAGGGCAGCAGTGGAGGGGATGGAAAGTGGTCAGGTCCCAGGAGGGCACTGTGGATTTTGGCTTGAACAAGCAAAGATGGAGTTGTCATTAAGTGAGGCAGGAAAGACTGAGGGTTTCAGAGTTCTGACTGGGTTAGGTTTGAAATGCCTCCCAGATGTGTGAGTAGAAATGCTGAGAAGGTGGGTAAATAGAAGAACCTGAGTCTGGAGTTTAGGGAGAGAGATCTTCTACCTTCCTTTTCTCCCATTTAAAGACCCTCTACTTTGGCCAGGTGGGAACAAAACAGACTTGGTTTGGTCATACTGTACTCAGAGGCCACTGGGGAGACGGCACTGATATTATTGCAAACTGTGATTGTGTCAAGTGTAGATAAGGCTGAGAACCAGGACCTAGGAAGGAGGTCACAGGTGGGCTTTTGTAGATCAAGCCCCAGGGGAAGCCATGTGGTTAGATGGGGACAGGATGGGGAGTGTGATA